AAGAAAACTCTCGCAGCTTGCCGAACATTTTATTTTGATCATGTTCTCCCGAAACTGGCTCTGTGATCAAGTTTCTTGGTAATAGATATATTCCTCGTCATCTGAGATGACCATTGCTCACTTTGCTCCAGTTCCTGTAGTCTTGACTGTTTACATTCTTCCCTGATTTGTGGCAATCTTTTCTTCTGTAAGTGTGTCTGAACTGTTCTATACGCTGCACTTTATGTTCTTTATTATAGCTTTTTCTGTTCTGCCCTGTTCTGTAGCTCCTTGATATAAACGCCGTGATTAGATGGTGGATAGTTCCATCAGCTACCGGCTTCCTGCATTTGTACATGATTAGGTAGTGTTGTATACATGTACCCAAGACAGTGGAACTCTGCTGTAAACAGTGCGTTATAGTAAATTATACTGCCATTACTGGTAACCACTACAAAAAACGGCACGTACAACTGGTTTACAATAGCTCGCCATTCCGTGTTACAACAGAGTTCAAAAAGGCATGAACGTTACATGAGTATTCGTATTTACTTCAAAGTAAGCGGCACTTGCAGCAGTCACAGGCCACATTTCCTACCTGGTGAACAGCACAAACAGACAAATAGGAGCATCACTACTTCTACTTCGAAGTACGAAGTCCTGAGTGAAATAAGCATCATTGTGTAGGGGCACCATTACTCACAACATAACACAAAGAAAAGAGGGGAAGAAAATACCGAGGCCACGTAGGAATATCGGCATGCGCAAAAAGCTTTCAACAGAGCGGCCTGGTCATAAAGCAAGAATTACATAGACGCCCATCTTCATCATCATTCTGACACATATGGTGGTAGCGTGAGTTACAAGACCTACAAACTCTAAGAAGTGGGCCATCTGAGCGCTTGCAAAACAAACATACGGGAGTGGTCACATAGGCAGCAGCGGCTACAGAAGAAGATGGCACGCTGATAGCAGCAGCAGTAGCAGCTACAGGAGATGGCACGTTCGTAGCAGCAGAAGTAGCAGCTACAGCAGATGACAACTTGGTAGCAGCGGAAGCAGCAGCAGAAGCAGTAATGGCAGGTGAAAGAAATGTGCCAGCTGAAACAGCCACTGCAGAAATGTTTGCATCTGGTGATATCTGGGCAACTTCTGCAGCAGAGGAAAAGTGTGCAGACTGTGTCGATGGCTTACTAACAGGCGGAGGTACCAGGGGCTCCATGTAGTTAGTGAGGAATGCACACACAAATATGATCTGCTCAGCCAAAGGGCACAACACGGAAGATAAGAAGTGAGTTATCCTGAAGTTCTTGATCCTTTCCATTGCTCTCTCCACATGAATACGCACGCTAGCAATACGCCGAGTTTCGATCACCTCTTCTTCATCAAGCTGATCTCGAGAACCAAGAAACGGGGGTATGTTGAGATCGACACCCTCCGGTAGCAGATCGGCAATGTCGAAACCACGGTCGGCCATGATGGCATCACCCTTCTCCATCAACTTCATTAGCCCACTTCGCTTTGTCAGTTTCTTATCAGAAATGCGCCCGCCATAAAGAGGAGACAGAAACGATATTGCACCGGTAGGTGTCACACCAACTAACAGTTTGAAAGTGTTCCTGTTTTTGTAATTCGACCAGGTGGCGGCTTGTACAGTTGGGTTGGCTGGCTTCTCAATGGGAAACTCTGTTGCGTCAATAATTACCCGGGTGCGTGGGTACTTGTCTTTGAAGACGTCGGGCATGTAGCGATCAATCAGAGCCCGGCTCGGCCAAATGTCCACTTCTTTCATAGAGAAGTACATGCAACGAATGTACGTTGAAAATATTCGGGACACCGTGGATTGATCTATTCCGAATCGCAGTGCTAAATCTGACTCAGGGAAAGCATGCCGAAGTTTGACAAGGGTCAATAGCAACTCGTCTTCATACGCCAATGCTCTTCGTCTGCCACGGCTGTCCTGGCCAAGGAAATCAGTTGGCACTTTAGTAGCAAAGCACATGTCTTGACATCCACACCGCAACTGATCCAGCAACAAGTCAAACGCCAGAGAACTCAGGCCCGTGTAAAACAGTACAATCTTGTTGTCATGTCGGATGTTCGAGTAATGGAGTTGGCATTTACGCAAAGCTTCTTCCGATTCATCCAAATTGTACAAGGCCTGCTCCAACTGGGACCGCAACTTAGCCACTTGTGCTTCCAAAGTCTTTATTTTGTTCTCTTGGAGAACGGGAACTTCACCATAATCATGGTCAGCTAAAAGTGTTGCAGCCTCAGGCACCGATTCATCTGTGACTGGTAAATCAACATCGTCATCAATATCAATCGCTTCAACGGGTCGACTGACTTCGCCTGTCGAAACACGGCTCTTCCTCTTCACTACGACGGCTTTGTCCAAGAAACGGGAAGGTGGCTCGTCCTCCGTCACAGGTCGACCACCAGGAAAGTGCACCCCACAGACATACGAGTTTCCAGAAAGAGGAGTGTTGACTCTTGGTATTTTGGCAAGCCACTCGGCCCTGATATGCCGGCGTCGATCCGAATCTTTAGGCAAACGATGAAAAGATACAGCTTTACAGACCTCTGCTGTTCCTCCGCAGCCAACACGAGCCAGGTCTGATCCACATAGACGACGCTTCCCAAACACTTTTCGTCCTTGCGAGTTCGCATCATCAGACTCAAACAAACCAAACTTGCAGCTGCTTTTACGATTTGAGCAGCCAGGGACGATACAATGAGCGTTGCTTGGCATGATTGTGTCAGCTGCTTACTGATCTCTAACTAACTTGCTACTTATACACAACAGCAAACTGTGACAACCCTTGCCTTCCAAGAAGGAAATAAATGTCTTGCTTTGAGTTTGATTCTTCACCAACACAAAGGAAAAAAAATTGTACATTGTACTTCAGCCTCAGCAAACGCGAAGCAGGTACGTAGGGCTCTACGATCATCAGAGTTTCCACGCGTGCATGCATGAGACTGCATGCTGCGCTGCGTGGTGCAAGTACAGTGTCGAGGTCGTGAAGTTGCCCCGCACAAAAAACCGCGGGAAAATTATGCATAGGTGCCATTCCAGTCAAAGGTAAGCATTTTCGGTTTGCTGTAAGACTGTACTTAGCCCTAGTGCACAATAATAGCGTGTGTACGAGGAACTTATTTATGTATATAGAAATCTGCACGGCAAAATGGCTGCTACACTGCTGTTAGTTGTATGAAGCAAGAAGGCCCATTTCACCTGAAATATTAGGAAAATCAAACAAACATGTTATACGTCCTTGGTACGGAAAGGGCTGCGGGAGTTCCGTTTTACCGGTTACTTGCGTACTCTTGCTCACGGTGAACGCAAGGCAAATTTCACCTGAAATATTAGGAAAATCAAACGAACATGTTATACGTCCTTGGTACGGAAAGGGCTGCGGGAGTTGCGTTTTACAGGTTACTTGCGTACTCTTGCTCATAGTGAACGCAATGTTGCTGGATGCGGCGTATCTATACTGCTTGCCATGCATCAAGACAATCTATCATTGATGCTAACCCTTACTGTCCTATCTACTCTGCAGCTGGACCAGCGCAGGTGCTTCCACCTGATTTCAAGTTGCTGATAACCATACCTGGTGACAGCAGTGCACAGCGCAGCCCTACCATCCGGACTATTGGAAATTCTCAAGAAAGACTGCGACACGCCCGAACACAAGGGGTTGCCACCGACTCAACTGCCGCTGACTCCAGAATGGATATGAGAAGAGCAACTCGAGCCAAAAGCCGATACCATTGGGTTCATGCTCGCGATCATCCAAATCAACAGCATAGATCTGGACCTGCAAGGCATGATCCAATTCGTTTGTTACCAACGAAAAGGGCAGCATCTGTTCAGCAAAAAGACCAAACAAAGCCGTTAGCCAAACGACGCAGGCCTGAGGTATTATAACAGTGAACATTCATTGGTATATCAATGAATGAGTTGTGTGTGCGTGTATGTGTATGTGTATGTGTATGTGTATGTGTATGTGTGTGTGTGTGTGTGTGTGTGTGTGTGTGTGTGTGTGTGTGTGTGTGTGTGTGTGTCCCATATGGTGCAGTGGTATGTGCAGCGATTTCCAATCGATAGGTTGCGGGTTCGATTCCCGACGAATATGGTCACACACGTCTTTCTTCTCTTTCTCAGACTCTTCCTGACTTTTCTTTCATTCTCCTGGGTGGTTACCAACAGCCAGTGCATGCCGGAGGATGTGGTGTGATGTGTGTGCGGGAAAAACATGAAAAAGACCAAAAATAGGGATTCATTAGCCAGAAAAAATCACTTCAAATAGCTGTATGGTGTAGGCCAGGCTGAATAGTGACGGGCAATTCTTCAGCCTTGCAAGCTGTTGAATGGTGCAATCCCAGCCCAAGTTGCTATGGCTTCTGCCGTAGCATTGCTATCATCCCCTCCGGCGATGGGCGTCAAAGGTCAAAGGTGTGTGTGTGTGTGTATGTGTGTGTGACTGGGTGTAACTGTGCGTGATGTGTGTCGGTCTGTCTGTGTCTGTCTGGCTGTCTGTAACTGTCAGCGCATGCATGCACCAATATGCTTGCTTCTTATAGTGGCATTGCCTTCATTTATGAAAAGGAAATATTTCATTTTTGCAGACATAAATCTAGAGCACAACTTGGTAATCCTTTCTTTCTGACGGACACATGCAAGGATATGTATGTCCTGGTGCTGAAAGTTAACAGATTCATATGCCATCCTTTTTGTTGACGACTTTGGCGGTGTCCTTTTAGGATCCCGGTCGTTTCACCCTTTATCTTTTAGTTGCAGAACTTCAACCTCACTGGCGGTTACTTTGCAATATTTATTTTGCGTTCTTGAGTTCCTGTGTAAACGTGTGTGCATCTCTTCCTCTCTGTGTGTGGCTGATTTGGGTGCTTATTGAACCTTTAAATGACGTCAGGTGTTCTTTTTCTTCTTGCCGGTGGTATGTGGCTCTGTGCCTGTCCTGTTTATGTTGCTTTTCATTGCAGGTGGAAGTTAAGGAGGATACATTCAAAGTTCAGTCCCTGAATAAAATTGGTCATACAAATTGTTTCACCAAGAAGCCTCTGTCAATGCTATCTTCATTTGCTCAGAGGCAGCCATCATCATCTGCTCAAAGGCAGACATCATCATCTGCTCAAAGGCAGACACTACCATCGTGCCCTCTTCAGTCCAGTGGGCTGTCCGTCAAGGAGCTAAGAGCCAAACGCTTTTCAATACAACAGCAACTCCAGCAGCAGCGTCAGCAGGACACAGAACAAGAACAGAGAAGAGAACCCTGGGCTAAGGTGCATGCCAACACCAAGCCACTGCCTGTGAAAGCAACCCAAAAGGTACTACTTGCTAACATGTATAATTAGTAACTGTTGCAGTACCCCCAATGCTACTGACCACATCAGTGCACAACACTACAAGACCAAACTTTGCACCAAACTTGAAAGTGAAGCTTGCATGTGCACCACTATTAATTTTGTGCATGGCTTGCTTTCTTCATTTTTTTTCCGGAAAGGTACCATTAGTTCTTTGCGCCAGTTATGTGTCAAATAAAGCTCACAACTTCATTCATTGCTTTAAGGTGCGTCGTCATAATGTCCTGCGGATTATGGTTTACGTGTTGCACTGTCTTTTTAATTCATCAGCCAATGCCAGGCCTCTCAGCTGTTTTAGCTGTCTTTTTCTCTCTGTCTCTATCTCTCTCTCTCTTTCTCTCTCTCTCTTTCTCTCTCTCTCTGTCCCTATTTCTCTCTCTCTCTCTTTCTCTCGCTCTCTCACTATCTCCTTCTCTCTCTCTCTCTCGCTCTCTCTGTTGTCATTCTTCTGACTGCTCCATAGCCTGGTGATGTTCCAGCGACCCCACCAGCGTCCACCGCTGCTGGTCTTCACATCAAGTCTTTAGATGAAATCCGTGCTGAGAAACGCAAGCACCATGAGACCACTAGTGACAGCACTATATCTGCAGCAGGCACCTGTCAAAGGAGACCGGCCGATAGTCAGTCTTCCACTATTCAAAGGAGACCGGCCGATTCAACCAGCAAGGAATCCACATCAGTAGTTGTCAGTCCAGCAAGCAAGAGTGTATGTAATTCAGTACTGAGTACTGCACCTACCAAGAGTTCCACTCAAGCAGTAACACCTGCTAAGATAACAAGACTCAGCAGTCATTCTTCTGGTAAGTTGTATTGCTAATGCATGCTGGTATTAGAAATGTGCGTGAAGACGTTAATTTCGATCTGTTGTCCTTTCCTGTGCCTTTTCTTAAGCGATACCTTTCTCTGGTTGTTTATTTGTGTGGCCTGGCTTGGTATTTACTGTATGGTCTTTGGGATATGTGCTACACCTCTCGTTACATTCGGATAGTGAGTCCTGCTTCATTCTCGTGTGGCAAGACCATTTGCTTCAACACGGCTGCAGTGTGCTACAGTACAATTTAAGAGAGCATGTCTGAGAATACCAAAGTATGTGTGCAAGTGGATCTCTCCGATTTCGCTCAAAATTTGCAGGTAGGTTCCCTTTGGGGTGTGGATCGATTATGCAAAGCCCTTGAAAAAGTTTCTGAAGGGAACCTTGAAATTTGCATACCCCTCAAAAATGGCCGAAATATCACATTATTTATGGGTCTAGAAACGAGTCACGCCACAGCGCATACGAACAAGCTATGAACAAAACTCCATCAAGCCAACATTGCCTCACCTTAGAAGAGTTCCTGGAGCAGTACCGCTTAGCCACGCCAGCATCCCAGAAGACGAGGTCCATCACCCCCTGACGCCACAAATGACCGTCTTGAAAATAGCCAATTTACAAGCGCTGGCAAAACAGCCAGCTACGTCCTCAATTGGCCAGAACTATACACCGGCAGATAGTAGAACACCTCTTCTAGCGCTGAGGACATGTCCCCCATCTTCCTTTTGGGGTTTTCTTGAAATAAACTTTTTTGAATTTTTCCACTCGACCATGCTGAAATACGGCCAAAGTCATACCTGCGCAGGAAAGCACGCTACTCCGCGACGTCTCCTCAGCAATTTCTACTCCAACACTACTCCCAAGGCCGCAGAACAAAGTGTAGTGTTGACTCTGACAAGGAAAAGCAGCGGTGATCCCTTGTCACTCCAAACGACAAGCTTCTCCTTGCGCCACCAATAATTTTTTGTGCGACTGTTGATGCAAAAGTGACTGAAGGCCTGAGCGCAGTTTTTGAATTTTATTGCAAGATGCACGGTGAGATCGCGTGCTCTGTGACGTAGGATGACGCTTCCTGCATCACGTTACGCGGCCATCGATCGCGAATGTGCCTGGAACGCTACTCGGAACGGACCATGATGGCAGAGGTAAGATGAGCTTCATTTCCTGCTTGAACTGCTGAGAACCCCCACAAACTGTCCTAGGAGTGTTGCAATGGCAGCAAGCCGTTGAAATATGCCCCGTACATCATGGAGAGTTATTCGTCTTTCACACTTACCTCCTGCAATCCCGAACATAGTCCAACAGTAAAAGTCCCTCGTTTTCATGTCGATGCTCGACAAAAGCGACTAGCTCGGTCCCTTTGTGTTGACTGGCACGCGAGCAGCACTGGCTGCACGCACTTGTCGCGTGAACTGCATGAGAGATTTCTTACGTCATAAAGAATGTGATTTCATCATCATTTCACTGGTCTTCGACCTACATGGTCAGGGAAAGTCCCGGTTCGTAGGCCTACAACACGGTCAGCGTGTTCTTGAGCGCCGTAACAACACAAGTGTGATCACTTCCAGACCAACGGGCGTTCTAGGCGAGTAACAAGCGCACTTGACAAAGGTGACTCTGAAATCTCGTGAGCCGTGGGCCACGCGACTTGGCATTCTTGCGTTACAAGGCACGTGATTTCACCGTGCATCTTGCAATAAAATTCAAAAACTGCGCTCAGGCCTTCAGACTAGTTCAGTCACTTTTGCAGCAACAGTCGCACAAAAAATTATTGGTGGCGCAAGGAGAAGCTTGTCGTTTGGAGTGACAAGTGATCACCGCTGCTTTTCCTTGTCAGAGTCAACACTACACTTTGTTCTGCGGCCTTGGGAGTAGTGTTGAAGTAGAAATTGCTGAGGAGACGTCGCGGAGTGGCGAGCTTTCCTGCGCAGGTATGACTTTGGCCGTATTTCAGCATGGTCGAGTGGAAAAATTCAAAAAAGTTTATTTCAAGAAAACCCCAAAAGGAAGATGGGGGACATGTCCTCAGCGCTAGAAGAGGTGTTCTACTATCTGCCGGTGTATAGTTCTGGCCAATTGAGGACGTAGCTGGCTGTTTTGCCAGCACTTGTAAATTGGCTATTTTCAAGACGATCATTTGTGGCGTCAGGGGGTGATGGACCTCGTCTTCTGGGATGCTGGCGTGGCTAAGCGGTACTGCTCCAGGAACTCTTCTAAGGTGAGGCAATGTTGGCTTGATTGAGTTTTGTTCATAGCTTGTTCGTATACGCTGTGGCGTGACTCGTTTCTAGACCCATAAATAATGTGATATTTCGGCCATATTTGAGGGGTATGCAAATTTCAAGGTTCCCTTCAGAAACTTTTTCAAGGGCTTTGCATAATCGATCCACACCCCAAAGGGAACCTACCTGCAAATTTTGAGCGAAATCGGAGAGATCCACTTGCACACATACTTTGGTATTCTCAGACATGCTCTCTTAAGGGCTTTGCAAATAGTTAACGCTATTCCTGACGTAGCGGTTGGTAGTAGGTGATCTTGCGTGTATGATATGTATGTTCCAGCATTCTATGGCTAATGGGATGCTATAATCTGGCTTGATCCATTGTAAATATATTAAATAATTATAAATGCTTGCTTCTTCATCTGCACTAATCAGCTAAGAAGGAAAGCCCAGCCACTACGAAGGTGTCCCAAAGTGAAGGAAGTGAAGTTCCTTCCACTGCTGATACTACTACTATGAAGTCTGATGCCAAGTCTGAATTTGATTGGTAAGTGCTTGTTACGGGCTAATTCTCATCGCACTGTGCCTTACATGCCATTCCTTAATGTGTCCGAGCTTTCACACTGCACATTTTTGGATTCATGGCGCGAATTGAATTTGCATGGATTCAGCGGATTGAATTTTCCGTATTTTATAGGCAACTGTATGGTGGGTCTGACTTACTCATCTCCGACCGCTTTAGAAGCTGCATCTGCACCTTGATCCTTGAGGGTGATTCGGTTCCTATGGTTGTGAACATTTCAGTCTACCTGAGTCCCATGCTAGACGTAATTTTGCTTTTAATATTCCGTCATTTTTGGGATTTAATTATAAACATGAGTGGTTCAGTTATTACTACTGCAGTCACAACATTGTAGTTAGAGTATATCACATCCAAGACATTCCCATAGCAGTATCTGAATGTCCCTTCGTATTGTCTTACCGGCTGTAGATAACTTCTTATTCTTTTGACTGTTCTAGGCTCGATGACATCAACCTGCTGGATGACGATGCATTTGAGAAAGCGATGAAGGAATTTGTTGGTGACGTAACCTACGTCGACTTGAATAAGCCAGATCTTGACGAAACAGTCAACAGCGAAGATCTACTCCTGGAAGCGGAGCTGATGATTTAGACTAAGAGAAATTTTGTGTATTGTCAGAGTGCACAGTGTGCTCCTCATTTGCCATGCCTACATCATGCCCAATCGCCTTTGGGGATATACACCCGGTTTTTTCCCTCTCTACTGCGTCCGTCGGCGCGAGGGTTTTTTCCCGGCTGGCTCGGTCCAGGAAAATTAACCTGACGGCCCCAAGTGGTTTTGCATCATGCCCTATTTCAGCTATCCGCTGGCACACGTATTTGGGCATCTTCGGCTAATGCTTGATTATATTACTCATAATGCTTTGAGCGCCGCTCGTTATATCAGCATAATGTTATATCAGCATAATGCTAATTTGAATGCTCGCTTTTCACTTTCTCGCTGGCTGTGTTGCGCAGAATCATGTGCCAACCTTCACTACATGTATATTGCATTGTCATTTCATTCAGTACAATGCGCCCATATAATTATGGTCATATTTTCGACAACGCTGCTCAAACTTGATATGAATCAACTCACCTACTCCGAAGCCACATTCTGCCAGTCTGCAATGGGTTCTGAGACAGCCCGGAAGTTGAAGTTGCTTTGAAGGATGCTAAGGAACGTGGAGTTCCCAGCTCCTAGACAGCAGAATACCAAATTGGAATGAGTATAGCTCAGACAAAGAACTGAGAGGAGAGAGTAATCAGTAATGCTAGATCAATAAGAGACAGTCATGCTTACCAATATTACCCTCGATCGCTATTGACTCGTGGGCTGCATGCGTAGGCCTAATGAGAACGGAATACAGTAAAACCTGTCAAGGCGACCACCTGTTCTAGAAGACCACTGCAACCAGAACCCAGGTGTGATATTTCCAGTTATTTTACCCTGGATAAGGCTACCACCTGGTGACAGAGACCACATATTGAAGGTCCTTTGACCGGTCGTGATAGACAGGTTTATGCCTCATTTCTCGTTGGCTGACGTAGGAAAGAAACGAGAATGTAGTTCTTTTTTGTCTTTCTTTTGCATGACGTAACATTTGCTGCTCGCAAATGCGAGATATTAGGAGCATGCGCCCCGGCTGCGGCATTCTTTTTCTTCTTGCTTTGCAAGTGTAGTGTATTTCTGATCCCGTTTTTTCAACGTACTTTCAGGATCCTTTTAGGAACATGCCTCCCCGTAAAAGGACCCGTCGTGTTGCAAGCGCAGAACCCGCACGACTGCAGGCTGACGCGCAGCGGAACGCGATCGAAGTCCATGCGGCGGCGGCACGCCTGGAGGAGCAGGCAACTCGCATCAGGCTGCTCGAGGCCCAAATCGAGCTCGAAAGGGCCAGGGCCCCGGAATCCCCACGCGGCAGAGGTCGCAGACGGAGACGTTCTCCGTCATCGTCGTCATCGTCGCCATCGTCGTCGTCATCATCTAGATCATCGTCGAGTGCCAGCAGTGCATCGCGGTCACCCAGCTCAAGGATCCGGAGATCCAGATCCAAAAAATTCAAAAAATCAAAAAGTTCCAACAAGAAGGCTCGCCGTCATCGCCATCGCTCGAGTGCTACGTCAACGGGCCCCAGTAAATGGAGGAACGTGGCGTATGAGCACCAGCACGTAGTAAACGCCCGGCTCCAGGAGCGCCTGGAGAAAATGCGGAGGGCACTGAAGTCCGACCGGCTGAGGAGCGTAACGAAAAACCTGAAGAAAGGAGAGGACATTCTAGAGGACAGGCAAGAGTGGCTCGCCGTCGCCGATACCCATGGGTTAGAGGTGGCGAACAAATTTGTGGAGGGAGGGGAAATCCTCAGCATTGTGACCTCCGCCGAAAAGAGCAAGAGACTGAATGCGGCCGTGCAGTCCGTGGCCATGCAGCGGCCCTTTCGTAGGGGGGTGGGGGGGGGTGGGCATCCCATTAAGGTTCGGCAGGGGCGGGGTGGTCACCCCTAAAGCAGCCGCACGAGGGGCTGAGCAGCCACCACAACAGCAGTCACCTTCTGGGCCCAGCGAGGCACCAAGGACGCAACCGGGGAGAAACCCCATCCAGCCTGGCCCCAAAGTCTGCTTCCGTTGCGGCGAGCCAGGCCACTTCATCAATTTCTGCCAGAAGCTAGCCGCTCAGAAATAGCTCTGAGGGCTGTGCGGACGGACTCCCCCCTGATGTGATAGATGATGAAGTGTATTCGGTGCTGAGTGTCGTTGACGAGGGGTGCGTGGCGGGCATGTGTGAATCTGAAGTTCAAGGGGAACTAGAGGGGCAAGGGGTGGTGGTGAGCAGTTTAGCTAGGTGCAAGCCATTTTGGGAAACTATGGGGGCATCCGAATTTGTGCCAAGGATCATTTGTGAAGGGTATCTACTCCCGTTCGTGCAGCTACCAAGGCCGAAAACTGTAAAAGATCACAGTAGCGCTCAGTGCCAATTTGATTTTGTCACAGATTCAATTAGAGACTTGATGGAAAGAGGGTGCATAAAGGAGGTCAAGAGTGAGGAGGCAGTGATTTGCAGCCCTTAAGGCGTGGTAAATAATGGAAAAAAGTTAAGACTCATTTTGGATTTGAGGTACGTCAATACTTATCTGGCGAAATTTAAATTCAAAATGGAAGACCTGAAAACAGTCGCAAGAGTCTACGAAAAGGGTGACTACGTGATTACTTTTGACCTGAAAAGCGGGTACCACCACATTGAAATTGCACAGGAGCATCAAAAGTACTTGGGGTTTAAGTGGTTTAATGCGGAGGGAACTATCACAACCTACTTATTTTGCGTGTTACCGTTTTGCCTCTCCACGGCTCCTTATGTTGTCACAAAAGTGACACGTGTTTTACTGCGGCCTTGGAGGGAGTTGGGCATAGGATGTCAGCTCTACATGGACGACGGGTCTGGTAGGCACTCTACTGTCGATAGGCCTTGACGGATTATGCTAATATTTTCGTGAAAATAATTATGCTTTTCGCATTGCTGAAAAAAATGCAGAATTATGCTATTTTTATGCTAAAAGTTATCATATCATGCCGCATTATGCTCACATACATGTATGCTGCTAATGCATAATGGTTCTGTGCAAAGTAACAGGGGAATTTTTTTGTAGAGGGCGTATTACTGTAGTAGCAAAAGTTCAACGGGATCAACGCACCGTCCGACCTACATGTAGCTACGACCATCACTGATTGTAGTGGGCTGGACATGTTATCAAGGGAGTCGTAAACCTACAAATTCCTAGTGCATCTACTTGTACTTGTACTTGTAGAACATGTACGATGTATGGAATTTGATGCGAACAGGCGGATTATTACAATTTTATGCGATTCGTATGCAATTTGCCTCGAATTATGCGATTATTCGATTTTGGTAGGAATTATGCGAAAAATTATGCTAGCATAATCCGTCAAGGCCTAACTGTCGAAGGGGCAAAGGTGGTGGTAAAACAGATGAAAGCTGATCTCTTGAGAGCTGGGTTTGTGCCCAATGAACTAAAATCCCAGTGGGAGCCATCACAAACGGTCGAAATGCTAGGCATGTGCATTGACCTCAAAGAGGGTCGAATTTTTGCGACAGAGCGCAGAGTGGCGAGGCTTAAAGAGTGCCTAGCACGGTTGAGCGGTCTAGCAGCGCCACCCGCGATGGAAGTGGCAAGGCTAGCCGGCTTCCTGTTGTCTATGTCGCTTGCGCTCGGGCCAATTTGCCGTCTGCGTACCAGGGCATTCTACAGCATGATATTGTCTAGGAGTTCTTGGTACGCCCCAGTGAAATGGCCGGATGCGGCAAGGTGCGACTTGGAATTTTGGAGCACGGTTTTTGAAGACTGGCACGGCCAACCATTTTGGAAAAACTGCCCAAAGGCAACGGTCCTGACCTGGTCCGATGCGAGCGACTCTGGCTGGGGCGGATTTTTAGTAGACAGCAGTGCAGTCGAGGTAGCCAGAGGAGAGTGGTCCAATGAGATTTTGAATGACCGAAGAAGCTCCACGTGGAGAGAATTGAGAGCAATCGCGTTGGTGCTTGAATCATTAGCACACAAACTAGAAGGAGGTATCTGCATTCACTGAAGCGATAACCAGGCAGCTGTGCACATTATCCAGGTGGGCAGCAGAAGGGAGCATTTGCAAAGGGAGGCCATGTGAATCCTCCAGGTGTGCATGAAGCACGGAATCCGCCTGATTGCCGAATGGGTTCCCAGAGAACAAAATGAACTGGCGGACTACTATTCGAAAATAGTTGACACAGATGATTGGTGGCTAAACCCGGCTGTTTTTGAACAAATCGAGCGTTTGTGGGGTCCCCATACGCTAGATTGCTTTGCGAGTCTGAGGACGAAACAGTTAAAGCGTTTCTGTTCAAGGTGGTGGAATCCGGGATGTTATGCGATCGATGCCTTTACGGTTAATTGGTCAATGGAAACGGTGTGGCTTACACCTCCGTTCCACCTAATACCCAGGGTTTTGAGTATGTTAAAAATGTGCTGCGGCCATGGCACACTGGTCGTGCCTAAGTGGGTGTCAGTGGATTGGTGGCCAAAATTACATGAGAGGCAAAGCTGGAAACCATTTGTAGTAGTAGTAGTAGTAGTAGTATTTATTATTTTACTAGGGCAATCCCCACAGACTGTGAGTCTTTTTACAGGGTACCCTAGGCAATTTGTAAAAGGAGTTTTGGTGCTACCCCATGATGAAAACACATTTCTGGAAGGTACCTGCCCTTACAACTTGCTGGGGGGGGGCAAGCAATATTATACAGAAATGCTGGCTTTAAGAGTGTGCATGAAGAATAACTGTTGCTGATTTGCGTACTGACACGATTGCTGTGGTTTTGTGGCGCGAGCATATGTGAGTGCACGGTGCAAGAGGCATTGTCCTATGTTGGTGTTCAGGGAACACCATTGCCTACAGGGCAGGAGGCAGATGCTGCTGACAATGTCATAATCCGCAGGGCGGACGGATGCTGCTGCTGGTGATGCCGATGACGATGTTGTAGCCCTCATGGCTCGGCAGACGCTGCTGCTGATGCCGTTGTATAATGCTCTTCAAGTGATGCTGATAGCTGCTGCAGATGCTGAAGCCGACGCTAATGCTGATGACTCTGTTGACAGGCGCCTCACGTAATGATCTTGTGTTCATGCCTAGAGCTGAGGGCGGTTCAAGTGGAGCCAACCCAGGAGCTCGTGAACCTATCCAGGAAGATTCCAGAAGTCATGTTGGCGAGTAGGGCACCGGGAACAGTGACCAAGTATTTGTCGACATTTCAGCCCTGGCAAGAGTGGGCTAGCAGTCAAGAGATCCCGAGCGTACCAGCCGAGTCTTGGCACATATGTTTGTATGTCGTGAAGCTGGTCCAGGAGGCACGGACAGCGTCACCAATAACATCCGCTATTTGCGCGTTGGCCTGGTCGCACAAGGTGCGAGGCCTACCGGACCCCACAGACAACGCACAGGTTCGGAACCTAGTCCAGGCCTCCAAACGACTGCTGGCGGCGCCGAAGAACCGCAAGAAGCCGATGACGAAGCAGATGCTAAACCTTTTTTCGATATTTTGGCTATGTCTGCCACCTTCTGCTGCTTACTGCGGCAATGTCGCTCCGAAGCATTTCAAAAGGCGTTTTGCCTTTTTTGCATCACGTTGGCATCATTACAAGGTGATAAACTCAGGCTTCACAAAACACCTTTCCAGTAGAGATTGTCAGAAACTCTTGAGGAAACTCCGTAACTCTAGCGGCAGGGCTGATAAGCACCACCATCGTAGATTATCCTTGACTCACTCTTGTCCTAGTTTGCGTTGACTTTCAGATCCGCTCAAATGATCTTCAGCGCGATATTCCCGCTCCTTTCGATTTTTGAATTTTTTCTGGTTCAATTTCAGCCCACTGTTCCGACTCTGCCACATTTTCAGGCATTTTGGCCCATTTCATAAGACTTGTCGCCATCCCAACTACCTCCGTCATCATCCATACCTGATCGCTCCCGCTAAATCACGTCACTAGAACTAAAGTGGAAGGAAGATATACTAAGGTGACTAATATCACTTTTTTTCACTCAAAATAGCCATAATTTTGTACGGTGATGTTAACCGTTTTACAGTGGGAGTCAAACCTAGAAGGTATTGTAATAGTACCTACTGCAGTGGTAGCTGACTAGCTTGCAAGAATACTGTACTCTGTAGCATTTTGACCAGCGCAACAACACAATCACAGTCATCATTGTTGCCAGATTTTCGCCTAGTATTGGATAAGCATACCATATTGAACCATGTTGAACCATGTTGAACCATGTTGAACCATGTTGAACCATGTTGAACCATGTTGACCTACAGGTACATACATGTTTTTCGATTTTGACAGCATGTTACAAGGCGAGGACGCGTAGTGCTCCTGACTACAACCATAACCCGGTTGGCAAAGTCCCGGTCTTACGACCATCTGAACCGTAACATGCTGTCAAAATCGAAAAACATGTTAAACTACCAAGCAAGGCTTCTGTATATAGTAGGTACATACATGTACATCAAGCATGTAGAGTGTAGGAGTGCTGGATATAGCTAGATTTTTTTGTTGATATACATTAGAAATTTATTACTCAAATTTTGAAGATCAAAAGGAAAGCTTTGCAATAATAACAACAATAAAACGTAGCCTGTAGAATGTAAAAAGTCACTGAGTAAAGTTTAATTCAATATCCATGTCCAGTATTTATAATAAAAATAATCTGCTGCAATTTATAGATTCTCACATGCGAGCAACCTGGGCCTCAGCAACAACCAGCTCAGCAGACTCCGGATGCCGAACCGATCGCTCACGGAAAAGACCCCGTGAACCCCGCAAACACATGATGCATGATCGCAACAGGGCAAATGAGAGACGGCATCTGATGTAAGATATTACGTGGGAGTACTGCTCCTTCCTCCTTTCCGCTCTCAATAACGCGATTCGGCGATAGAGTGATGTCGCCGCTCTTCCCATGCCACCACTTGCCGACAGCACAACAGGCATGAACGTCGCATGCTCCACCTCTCTCACTCTCTCTCTTCATAACATCGTCGCTTTTCTTTTTCATGGCGCCGATAGACAGTGGTGTGTGGTGCAGATCGATTTGAGCGTGCATGAGGATTAAAAACCCGTATATCAAGTAAAGTACGCTCAAAACGACTGCCCCACAAGCCACTGACCGCTACATCAAGCCGCGCATGCTCCTCCACAATAGCAGACCTGCATCTCATTCTCTCTCCAGTGAGTGGCTGCAGCTGTGGCTCAATGGAGACATTGTGACAGGTCTCTTCAAGGAGAGAGGCTGTCACATCCCGGATCTCATAATGGCGGATAATGGTAAACCCACCAAGGGGACATGACAAGGCATGGTCAATACCATTGTCCCGTCCACAAGAGCAATGACCGCTTCTAGCCAGCTGCCGACTCTGGAATGGCCTGCCCGACTGTATGAAGTCCATACTATCTGTCCGTGAATTCAAACGCATGCTACGCGTATTCTACTTCGGTTAAATGTAATGGCTTTCGTAACCTGCTGATGAGACTCGATAGAAGCATGCTACGATGACCCGACTTGTAAATTTGAGATCCATTTTTTTCTGCTCGTCTTGACCCTGCCTCCCCTCATTGCTACTTCCGTTTTCGTATTTTTATTTTCATTTATTTTCTCTTCATTTCTGACTCTTCTTACTGGTTGTCATCGCTTTCATAATATTGGGCAGAACTGCCCGTTTGCCATGCGATGTAAAATAAATAAACAACAACAACAACAACAACAACAACAACAATGAGTTGGTAACCTCGGCGGCATCCAACCATAACGGAGGCACAAGCCGTCCATGAACTCAGCTTTGCTCAGTGAAAACCATACTTTTTCAATGGACGGCAAGTCAGCCAACTCGAGGCGCCAGGTTCACGGGCGAGGACAATGGTGTGTCGCAAGGCGTCCGACGCATCATTGCTAATAGATGGGAACAGATGGAGACCATGATTCATAATGTTGCTGGAGACACCACGCCTCACAGGGCTGCGGACTACACCACCAGTTTTGGCTAGTCTGTTAGTTCAGTAGTCGGCATCAAAAGCACCCATAATGCCAGTTTGCTGCAATTATGCCACTTTTATGCTCGGCAGTGCTAGTTTACTAAAACCAGCATATAATTCTACTGATAATGGTAGCATTAGCCGCCGATGCGTAGCAGTGAAACCTGTCGAACACGACCGCATAAGGGAACTTCAAAATGTGGTCTCTGTCACCAGGTGGTCGCCTTGTCCAGGGTCAATTGACTGGAAATAGCACCCATTGGTCCTGGTTGCAGTGCTCTTCTAGAACAGGTGGTCGCCTTGACAGGTTTTACTGCATTCCATTCTCATTAGACCTACGCATGCAGCCCACGCATCTCGTTAAGAAAGTAGCTATCGAGGGTAATATTGGTAAGCATGACTCTCTCATATTGATCTAGCATTACTGATTTTTCTCTACCCTCAGTTCTTTGTCTGAGTTATACTCTTTCCAATTTGGTACAACTATTCTGCTGTCTAGGAGCCTGGAAAGCACCTTTCCTTAGCATCCTTCAAAGCAACATCAACTTCAGGGCTGTGCCAGAACCTATTGCAGACTGGCAGAATGTGGCTTCAGAGTAGTTGAGTTGATTCATATCAAGTTTGAGCAGCATTGTCGAAAATATGACCATAATAATATATGTTTGCATTGTACTGAATGAAATGACAATGCAATGTACATGTAGTAAAGGTTGGCACATGATTCTGCACAACACAGCCAGCGAGAAAGTGAAAAGCGAGCATTCAAATTAGCATTATATGCTGATATATCAAGCAGCGCTCAAAGCATTATTAGTAATAATAATCAAGCATTAGGCGAAGATGCCCAAATAAGTGAGCCAGCAGATAGCTGAAATAGGGCATGACGCAAAACCACTTGGGGCCGTCAGGTTAATTTTCCTGGACCGAGCCAGCCGGGAAAAAACCCTCGCGCCGACGGACGCAGTAGAGAGGGAAAAAACCGGGTGTATATCCCCAATGGCGATTAGGCATGAAGTAGGCATGGCAAATGGTGAGCACACTGCGTAATGTGGAAATACACAACAGTTCTCTTAGTCTAAATCATCAGCTCCGCTTCCAGGAGTAGATCTTCGCTGTTGACTGTTTCGTCAAGGTCTGGCTTATTCAAGTCGACGTAGGTTACGTCACCAACAAATTCTCTCATCGCTTTCTCAAATGCATCGTCATCAAGCAGGTCGATGTCATCGAGCCTAGAACAGTCAAAAGAATAAGAAGTTATCTACAGCCGGTAAGACAATACGAAGGGACATTCATATACTGCTAGGGAATGTCTTGGATGTGATATACTCAAACCACAATGTTGTAACTGCAGTAGTAATAACTGCATCACTCATGTTTATAATTAAATCCCAAAAATGACGGAATATTGAAAGAAAAATTACGTCTAGCATGGGACTCGGGTAGACTGAAATTTTCACACCCATAGGAACTCAATCACCCTGGAGGATCAAAGTGCAGATGCAGCTTCTAAAGCGGTCGGAGATGAGTAGTTCAGAACTTCCATACAGTTGCCTATAAAATACGGAAAATTCAATCCACTGCATCCATGCAAATTCGTTTCGCGCCATGAATCAAAAAATGTGCAGTGTGAAAACTCGCACACATTAACGCACGACATGTAAGGCACAGTGTGATGAGAACTAGCCCGTAACAAGCACTTACCAATCAAATTCAGACTTGGCATCGGACTTCATAGTAGTAGTATCAGCAGTGGAAGTAACTTCACTTCCTTCACTTTGGGACACCTTCGTAGTGGCTGGGCTTTCCTTCTTAGCTGAATAGTACAGATGAAGAAGCAAGCATTTATTATTAATTAATATATTTACAACGGATCAATCCAGATTATAGCATCCCATTAGCCATAGAATGCTGGAACATACATATCATACACGCAAGATCACCTACTACCAACCCCTACGTCAGGAATAATGCTAACTATTTGCAAAGCCCTTAAACTGTATTGTAGCACACTGCAGCGGTGTTGAAGCAAATGGTCTTTCCACACGACAAGGAAGCAGAACTCACTATCCACATGTAACGAGAGGTTTAGCAGATATCCCAAAGACCATACAGTAAATGCCCAGCCAGGCCAGACAAATAAACAACAAGAGAAAGGTATCGCTTAAGAAAAGGCACAGGAAAGGACAACAGATCGAAAGTAATGTCTTCAAAAACATTTATAATACCAGCATCAGCAATGCAACTTACCGGAAGAATGACTGCTGAGTCTTGTTATCTTAGCAGGTGGTGTCGCTGGAGTGGAACTCTTGGTAGGTGCAGTACTCAGTACTGGACTGCATACATTCTTGCTTGCTGAACTGGAAACTACTGATGGTGATTCCTTGCTGGTTGAATCGGCCGGTCTTCTTTGACAGGTGTCTTCTGCAGATACAGTGCTGTCACTAATGGTCGCGTGATGCTTGCGTTTCTCAGCAAGGATTTCATCTAAAGACTTGATGCGAAGACCAGCAGCGGTGGACGGTTGTGGAGACACTGGAACAGCAACAGGCTATGGAGCAGTCAGAAGAATGGAGACAGAAAGAGAGAGAGAAAGAGATAGAGAGAGAGAAAAAGAGAAACTTAAAACATCTGAGAGGCCTTGCATCGGCTGATTATTTAAGACCGTGCAACATGTAAACCAGCTGCAGGACATAATTATTACGAAGCACTTTAAAGCAGTGAATAAAGTTGTAATAGCTATGAAAAGTATGAATGCCGCAGACATCACCAGGCAACATGACATTTTGTTCAAGATTTGGTTTTGTGTGTTTCCAAAATCGATTTTCACGCTCCGCTCCACCTTGAACAAATTGTCATGTTGCCTGGTGATGTCTGCGGCATTCATACTTTCCATAGCTATTATTAAACCTTTATCTCCACGTAGATTATTAATAAAGTTGTAAGTTATTTATACACATAACTGGCGCAAAGAGCGGATGGCACCTTTGCGGAACAGCTCGACAACAAAAAAATGAAGAAAGCAAGCCATGCACAAATAGTGGTGCACATTTAAGCTTCACGTTCAAATTCGGTGCAAATTTTGGTCTTCTAATGTTGTGCACTGCAGTTGTCAGTAGCATTGGTGGTACTGCAATTCTTACAGAGCTACAAACCACCGGCGAGAAGAAAAACAACTTGACATCATTTTGAGGTCCAATAAGCCCCCAAATCAGCCACACATCGAGATGAAGAGATGCACACACGTTTACCCAGGAACTCAAGAACGCAAAATAAAATATTGCAAAGTAACCGCCAGTGAGGTTGAAGTTCTGCAACTAAAGGATAACGGGTGAAACGGTGGGGATCCTCAAAGGACACCGCCAAAGTCGTCAACAAATAGAATGGCATATGAATCTGTCAACTGTCAGCACCAGGACAGCACCAGGACATACATATCCTTGCATGTGTCCTTCAGAAAGAAAGGATTAGAAAGTTGTGCTCTAGATTCACGTCTGCAAAAATGAAAAATTTCCTTTTCGTAAATGAAAGCAATGCCACTAAAACTTTTAAGAAGCAAGCATATTGGTGCATGCATGCGCTGACAGTTACAGACAGCCAGACAGACACAGACAGACACACATGACACACAGTTACACTCTGTCACACACACATACACACACACATACAAACACACGCACACACACACATACACACACAATCACACACACACACATATACACACACACACACACACGCACACACACGAACGCACACACAACTCATTGATTGATATACCAATGGATGTACATGGATACAGTACCTCAGGCCTGCGTCGTTTGGCTAACGGCTTTGTTTGGACTTCTTGCTGAACAGATGCTGTCCTTTTCTTGGGTAACAAAGGACCTGGACCACGCCTTGCAGTTTCAGATCTATGCTGTTGATTTAGCTGATCGCGAGCATGAACCCAATGGTATCGGCTCATTGCTCGAGTTGCTCTTCTCATATCCATTCTGGAGTCAGCGGCAGTTGAGTCGGTGGCAACCCCTTGTGTTCGGGCGTGTCGCAGTCTTTTTTGAGATTTGCCAATAGTCCGGATGGTGGGGCTGCGCTGTGCACTGCTATCATCAGGTATGGTTATCAGCAACTTGAAATCAGGTGAAAGCACCTGCGCTGGTCCACCTGAAGAGTAGATAGGACAGTAAGGGTTAGCATCAATTATGCCTTTGATGGATTGTCTTGATGCTTGGCAAGCAGTGTGGATACGCCACATCCAGCAACATTGCGCTCACCACGAGCAAGAGTACGCAAGTAACCGGTAATACGCAACTCCCGCAGCCCTTTCCGTACCAAGGACGTGTAACATGTTTGTTTGATTATCCTAATTTTTCAGGTGAAATGGGCCTTCTTGCTTCATACAACTTAAAGCAGTGTTGCAGCCATTTTGAGGTGCAGATTTCTATAGACTCAAAAAAAGCACCTCATACACACGCTATCATTGGTAAAAGGGCTAGGTACAGTCTTACAGCAAACAGCAAATTCTTACCTTCGACTGGATTTCCTTGGGGTGCGGTCGTAGTGGGTTGAACTTGGCCAGTTTGCAGAGGCGCATCAGGACGGGGCTTCAAATGCTTGAATGGGCAGAACGGCTTGGTACACCCCACTCGCTGAGACTCCCAGTAGCATGGCATGCTGCCACGGTCTTTCTGCAACACAGTCACCAAGACCACATCGAAAACAAAGAAACTCAGCATGCATCACCGTGCACTAGGCTTTCCTCAAATTAGCGCGTTTTTACAGCCTGGTCAGCTTTTCTCTCAGCTCGAAAATACATCACATTCGGCTGAAAAATCAGCTGATTGTTTGAATATTGAACGTCGTGTGAAACAACTTGTTTTGTAGTCAACTAGTCCATCACAATGCCATACAGGAGGAGAACTGTAGGAGTTTGGCTTTCGACTTGTACAATTCGTTTTCGCAAAGCTTCCCGTTTCTTTACGTATCTTCGATATTTATGACCCACCCAAGTTGGGTGGTGTGCTGCTTTGCTGCTTCGAATTGTAGTTAGACCTCTTTGTCAAATATCGTACTGGTCTCGTCATCGTCCAGTAACAATTGACATTCTTTGTTCCGTTGGGACTGTGGCTTTTGCTCGTTTTCGTTGCGCTTGCCTTCCCCTCTTTGGTCTTTTCATAACCTTGAACCTTCCAAGTTGGAAGGCTGTCGGTTAGCGCTACTGAAATGTGTTGAAGCTAGGTGTCAGGACGTCGAATGTCTCAGTACTCTTGTCAGTTTTGTGCCTAGATATTGCACTTTCTGACTGTATTATAGTATCCAGTTACAGTGATGAAGAGTTACTCTTAACTCGTATCCATAATGTCCTTTTCCTTTCTATTTTTATTTATCGCTCAACACCCGAGTTTCAAATAATAATAATAATAATAATAATTCAAAGGATCAGTTGGGGAAGTTAACTGCCTGAAAAGAGAAACAAATCGCGAGACCCACCAGGACTCCAACCCGGGACCTTGTTTGTCATTAGCCATGCTCTAACCACTGAGCTATGGGACCGGGCAGAACCTAGAAAGCCCTGGCAAGTTTTTCACTCCAAAGGCAGCTCACACCACGTGCCACACATACTGATCGCACTTGGATCTTTCTCCCTCTCCATGGCCCAGGGGACCAACCACGGTCAGTTTCTGGACCCTACCAGAAAAAAAGGCAAGAGAGTGTGCAGGCAAAGCAACCACACACGCTTGCTTTACTTACATGTATTCCCATGTGGCGACGTGCACAATTCGGAACAATACAGCTTCCTTTGGCCCAATCTTGACAGACGTCTTCCTTGCCAAGTGCAGGGGCACTGTGCCGGAATGGACAAGCGGGTCCCTTCTTGCAGCTCGAGTAGTAGAAGAAGTAGCAATCATTACCGACTTGAGCCATCTGTTGTTCAAACATTATTTGTTGAAAAGAAACACAACAAATTCAACGCCAACATTATAAAAAAGGGGCGCAAGATGGAACGGTCGATATAAGTTTTGTGGCCTCATGACTCCGGTTTGGGCAAAGATATTCCTTTCAGCGGTACCTGTATCCAGTCATGTTATTTGTTCGTTATATTATTTCCAATTTTATGGCTCACCACGACCATGCAAAATTCAATAAGTATCGACCTCCATTTTGAAAATATGGCGAAGCCCCCGAAACAGGAGTTTGTGCAGTCATAGCGGCTACGCACCCTAGTTCATGCTGATCGATGTACACGATGTACAGCTGAGTCCTAAATTACTGGTATTGTACGACTCCCTGGTCAGGTCTGCACAGCGAAAGGCTAGAGCCAACGCAAATCTTATTGTTTGATGCCGGCAAAGACACGCGGAGAAGACGTCCTTTCTGCAAGCCACCTTGGTCATTTTTCTCAACCCGCTGGTGCATGTCGACCAAGATATGTCCTTGAGGTACTGGTGAACTGGGTTCCTGGCATCAACAAGAATTCACCGCGCCTAGCTAACCAATGTTGTCGGTAGAACTCAGCGTTTCCTGATCACGGCTCGACACACTCTTTTCTGTTTGGCCTCGCAGCTTTCACCCTGCGAGTGTGCAGTTTCCTGGCCACAACTGAATTCCTTAGTCATGACCATGATGACAAGTGACTGGTATGATCTCTGATGGACCTAAGTCATTAGCTTGAGTCAACACGAAGGTAAACTGTTCACTTGGAACGCTAGCTGCTTTCTCAGTCCTTTCTTGTTGCACTAGCAGATATGCGTACGAGAGGACCCAAGCAGACAGTACTAGATATTGGGACAAGGGATAGGTGGTCTCCGGTCCGTGATG